GGAGCCCACACCCCGGGGATGGATCTGTTCAGCCGGGAAGAGCCGTTCCCTCAGTGCCGGCTCTGCAGGTGCGGACAGCGAGGAGGTCACTCACCAGGGGCTGCACTGGCACGCCCGAGCCTCCTGCCTGTGCTGCAGCCGCTGCCGAGCGCCGCTGCGGGATCAGCCCCTCTCCTGCCGCCGCGGCCGCCTGCTCTGCTCCGACTGCTGCAGCCGCTGCCAGGACGCCTCTTCCACCGCCTCCGACTCCTCCGACTCGGCTTTCGCCTCGGCTCCGTCCCCGGACTCCACGCCGCTCTCCCGAGCCGGCCCGGCTGCGGGGGGCTGCGGGCAGCGCGGGGAAGGGGCCGGTAGGATCCTGCCGGGATGGGGTGGGAGGGGAGCGGGAGGGAATCCAGGCCCTGCCCAGCGCCTGGGGACTTTATTGGGAATGTCACAGCGGCGATAAACCCCAGAGGCGGGGGTGGCTCGGTGCCACTCCGCCGTGTCCCAACACAACCCGTGCTGTGGCAGGGCTGGCTCAGCCTTCTCCTTCCTCACTCTCGCTCCCTTTCCCTCCTCCAGAGGCGTTTTCGGATCAGTCCCCGCTGCACCCCGCGTTCAGGAGCCCCGAGGATCACGGAGCGACTGCCAAGGAGCACCCGGGAACGCCGGGACCCCCAGCCGGCCACCCCTCGGCCCCCCAGCCCAGCCCCGAGGGGCCCAGCGAGCCTGGAGCCTTGGGCCACGTGCTTTTAGGGGCTCCTGACCCCCGAACAGGCAACGGGAACCCACATTTCCAAGCGGGCACGTCCCCGCCCCAACACAGCCCCCGGCCGGAGGATGGCACGGAGGAGGACGACTCGTGGTGCCCCACCTGCTCCTCATCCTCGGACTCGGACTCGGAGCAGGAGGGATTCTTTTTCGGSAAACCCATCCCCAAGCCCGGAATGAATTCCCTGGGCAGGGAGCCCGCGGGGAGGGCCAGGGGCAGGACGGCCAAGCACTGCAGYGTGTCCTAACAGCGAGCTGCGGGGGTCCCCGAGCGCCACCGCTGCCCTGCCAGGTCCTGCCAGGTCCTGAACGCCTTCCGAGCGCGTCCTGGACGCGGCCCAAGGCGGGTGGGAGAAGCCGCTGGGATCCTTCTCCCCCACGGCAAAGCGGAGCCTGCAATTCCTGCCGGCCTCTCCCGCAATTAGGAACAGGTAAAGCAGGAAGGGAGCGGGGCCGGCAGCTCCCGCCCGGCTTCCAGCGCCTCCCGCAGGGCGGCAGCGCCGGGGAGAGCGGCCGGAGCTCCAGAGGGGCAGCCTGCACCACCCTGCTGCTGGGATCACCGGGGATCCATCCCTGAGCCTGTCCCGCTGCTGGAGACCACCGGGGATCCATCCTTGAGCCACACCCCACTGCTGGGACCACCGGGGATCCATCCCTGAGCTGTGCCCCGCTGCTGGAACCACTGGGGATCCATCCCTGAGCTGTGCCCCTCTGCTGGGGACCACCAGGGATCCATCCCTGGGCTGTGCCCTGCTGCTGGGGACCACCGGGGATCCATCCCTGAGCTGTGCCCCGCTGCTGGGACCACCGGGGATCTATCCCTGGGCCACACCCCACTGCTGGGACCACCGGGATCCATCCCTGAGCTGTGCCCCGCTGCTGGGACCACCGGGGATCCATCCCTGGGCCACACCCCACTGCTGGGGACCACCGGGGATCCATCCC